TATATTTTTATTCTTTAATTAAAAATTACAAACAAAAGGGATTAAAATTATAACAATCTCCACTAAAACAAATTCTGAGTGTTCAATTCAATAAAATTAATTAAAAAAATAGAAACTGTATATCAACATAATATCAATATAAACCAGAAACGTAACCTTAACCTCAAAAATTTACAAGTCATATATATGTGTATTTTATATCCATACTAATACCACGTACAAATAACCTGCAACTACCAAATATATACATATATACATATTAATTAATTATTCACTTACCAAAGTAAGTGCAGCTCGTGTAGAAAGTATTTTTCTGCCTTTGACAGCACGAACAGTAGCTGCAGCAACTATGGAAGAAGCCATATTGCTTACAGTATTACGATTCACACAAATCGAAATACATGAACTTCTGGCCTTTGTGTAGGTCAATTGTTTAAGAAGATAGTTTGATGTCGCAACTATCAGTATGTAATGACATTTTCCACGTTTCCCACTAAAGACCAAGTATACATCATGCTGGTGTGACGAATAGGTAAATCCACCACCACAGTACATCAGACCAAAGCGCCACCACGCAGATGCGATTATCACACGTCTGGCACTAGTATGCCATTCTTAGATTTAGATTAACCAAGATTTACACGGATAATAAATGATGTAGCGAAGTTAGTTGATGAGCATATACATTTTTAGTGAGATGGTTCGGAGAGTATTGAAGTTTTAATAAATTTTATATATTTTGTTACATCATGTGCTGTTTATCATATTTCTGGTATTTCTTTCTCTTTAATTAAGTGAAAAACATCGATAGACTCATGGCGATAAATCATTTCCATTGCTAGATAGTTCACAACGATGGAAAAATGTTCAAGTTTCTAGCATCGTCTAAGCAACTGGTAACCTTAAAAATTTGTCATTCCCAAACGCCCTAGGCTTCTCAGGCAGCACTTGCAGATCTGTAAAAATTCTCCAAACATCTGAGTAGTTTGGACGGTGTCCACCAGAAATCTTATCGACTCTTCAATTGTTACGATATTCCGTGAACTTGGCTTTATAGTATTTGTAATACCACACATGAACATGTTACGCTATCGCGTGAACGTAGCTTTAATCACTCGTCATACATGCTCGTGAATATAGCTTTAGGGTGGTTTTAATCTAGAGATCGACGCGCACGGCTGCAGCATAATTTGAATTGTCAATACTGTATATCTCAAAAGATAGACCGTATTTTGATACATTTCCACATGGAAATCGTCTAAGGGTTAGATGTGTGGTACTGCGATGGAAAATTAGAACTCGGGAACGGAAATGCTTTGTTATTGTAGTCGAAAGATTTTATTCAAGAACCGTAACCACTTGAGAGTTAAGTTTAAGCCACGTAAGTATGTACATATCTTGAAATATATGTATAGAGTATCATATATGAAATTACATATTTTTATTTTGTGTATTGTAGTTAGTAGTTTGTAAGTGGCGTGTCGTGGTTCGTTTCTTCTTGTAGGTTTGGTGCTTAGGACTTGCATCTTTGAATTTCCTAGTTTTCTAGAATTCGTGTCGCGGTTGAGAAATTATGTATTTCATGACATTGTATGCTTCAGTTAGTTGTGGGTCCTCTGTTGATTTTCTTTTCTTTTTATTGTCATTCCGTGCGGTACCTGTATTTTGGTCCTTTGTTATTTCCATTTCATCATCTTTCTTTTCTTCTTCTTCCTCTGCCATAACTGTTTTTTCTTCTAATTGTATGATTTCTGAAATATAAAGTACATATTTTTTTAGATCTTATATGATATACTTCAGAAGTAAGTAGACTGTGGATTTTTATGCATTTATAGGAAATTTAAAGGTGCAAAATTGAACAGAGTACACATAATATGAAAAAATATCCAAATTATAGTGCTTTTTATAGTACTTGGTAGATGAAATAATTTTCTACCGAATTTCTACTTTTTTTACTATATTTTTAAAAATATGAATTTGCATAAAAATCCGCAGTTTCGAAATAAGTAATAAAATTAATTACAAATATGAATATAATTACGAATACCGAAAGTTTAAGTATGGCAAGCAAACATGGTGCAGCTAAACTTGCGATATTCACAGCTTTATTATTACCTGCAGTTTCATTCCTTATGGAATCTTTTGTTATTTTGACTTTATACTTATCCGACAAAAATGCCAAATTTTTGTAACCCCATCACAAGGATGTCTCCACTTGATTCGTCTCTATTCCAGATTTTATTTTTCTTTCACATTTTTCTCTCTGCGATATTGTGCCAGTAATAATTTCCTTTTCACCTCCGTCCTCTACTGTATTCCATGTATCACTTTTTTGATTTTGGTTTCTACATCGTGAAAGCTTAGGATTCCATAATATGGATTCATTTTCATAAAGTTGTATCAAGAATAAAACTTTATTGCTTGACATTTCTGAAATTTTAACAAGTATAGAAATTATTAATTTAATTAAATTAGAGAGAGAGTCATCGTGTATTCGATATTTACTTACCGATATCGGAATAATTTCCGATGGTCTAGTTGTATTGATGTTCGAATAATGTTCTAGTGTGGATGTGATTTCATTTTACGGTGTGGTTCCGTAATGTGTATAATACTATGGTAGAAATATGGTTTTCGATGATGCGTTGGCGTATATACAATACTATTCATACTTGTAAGCTGCACCAGGCGATTACTACGAAGGGTAACATTATATTTTGTGATTAGTGGATTCGCGTAGCAGTTTAAAGGAATATTTGTGTCCCTCTGTCAAAGAGAAGTGGGTATTTATTAGATTTGCCTGTGATTGCTTTAAGTATTTTGTTTTGAATGCGTTGAGTTTTCTTCTTGACATAGTTCGATGCAGACCACCATATTTGCATACCATAAGTTAAAACTGGCCCGAGGCACATTTTATATACAGGGTGTCCCGTAACTCCTCGAACACCCGGAAATGGGGGGTTGCTGAGGTGACTCTGAACAACTTTTTTCTTTACCAAAATGTTGGTTGAAGCTTCGTTTTTGAATTATTAACGAAAAACACTGGCCAATCAGAGCGCGCGCTCTACCACGAGAGCGTTGGCTCTCAACCGCGCTCGGTTGTGGTCGTGAACAAACGCATTGGCACAGCATGGGTATCGAGGGAAGCGTGCGGCAAATGTTATATCGTCTTAAATTAAGAATAATGTGGAATTCTTCTTTATTCATGAATAACAAATAAACTAATAAGTCGTTTAAAAAACAGTGTTCGATACTTTTATTCGTTATCCGAAAGGAATAAAGTGTTTTATTACTTATGAAAAACTTACCCATTCGTCCACGAATTAACCTGCTTCGACGGAAGTGGGTCATTGTGCCGATCCTAACCTTTCAAGGTAACCCTCAACAGCTTATGTTACGGCCAGGTCGGTGAATTCACTTCACTGCACCATGCCATGCCAGGGTTTCGAGGATGGGTTCAATGAGCCTGTCGTAGCAAATCGCGGGAGATTGTGGCGACAGCGCCGTGAATACGCGGCCACCACCTTATCCCGCGTTTACACTGGTTCTCGGTACACGGCGGTCTGAAATAATGAACAAAAAAGCAAAATGCATAAATAAAGATTTTTAAAGTTAATGCAAAATAATAGTGACACTGAACGTACCACCTTCAGGTGTTCCCGGAAGAAAAAATCCAACGGATTCATGTCTGGAGACCGTGGGGGCCACGATACAGAACCGCCGCGGCCAATCCTCACCTGTCGCGAAAGGCTTGATCTAAGTCAGCCCGAACATTTGCGGTATAATGGGCGGGCGCTCCATCATGCTGGAAATACAAGTTCCTCCGAATTTCTAAAGGAATTTCTTCCAAGAGACCCGGAAGAACATGCTCCAGAAAATTGTTGTATGTTGGGCCATTCAATCTATCGGGTAGAATGTATGGCCCAACAACAAAATCGTCGCAAGTGCCGGTCCATACATTGACTGACCAGCGTTCCTGTTCTGTACGTGGATGAATCGCAATCGGATTTTCATCGTTCTACACGTGCGAATTGTGGGCATTAAAGCACCCCTCCCGAATAAAAGGAGCTTCATCTGTCCACAAAACGTACCTGCAGAGCGACGGATTCCACTCGATTTCCCCCAACAGCCACCTTGAATATTCCATCCGTTGGACGTAATCCCTGGGGAGCGATGTTTGTACCCGTACATACTTATACGGGTGCATACTCTCATCCTGCAAGTGCCTGTGTATTGTTGTCCAGCTGACACTAAAATAAAACAGAAAAGTTATCCTTTCGGATAACGAACAAAAGTATCGAACACAGTTATTAAACGACTTATTAGTTTATTTGTTATTCATGAATAAAGAATAATTCCACATTATTCTTAATTTAAGACGATGTAACATTTGCCGTACGCTTCCCTGGCCTTAGTTCATGGCTGATTAACAAGGCGAGCAATATGTACACGTCAACAAGGACGTCACTTTGAACAGTTTATTCAATAATGTAATGTAATTAACGTTAGTAATGTCAAGAAAATTAATAAATGTATTATCCATACATTAACATTTCTTATTTATTAACACATATCTAAATCTAGACGTGGTACAGTGCACATGCACTGGATAGAATTTTCAAACTCGATTTTCTCGAAAACGAAGCGTCAAACGAAAAAATGTTATTCCTTTTTTTCGACTTATTCTTACATGTAGTATCACCCCCTGTATATATTTAAATATTTAAATAATATTCAATAATATAACATAATGCTTAGGTAAACATAAGATAATCATCATAATATAACATTCACATTGTAAATATTCAGCATATTGGTATTCATATTAGTACATCAATATTAATATATCAGTATTGAAATAATGAAAATTATGCTATGCACAAAAGCGATCAATAAATATAAAGTATGATAATTTATATTTTTGCAAAAAAAATATACTTTCCTGGAAATCTGGCGAAGGGTATTCCCATACGGCTGATATACATCTTTGTAAAATCCTCATCGTCTTACAACACGTACACATTGTATTGAACGTACATGGTACACTCAATGTTGTAAGAGATGCTGTCAGGGTGGACAGTAAAACACAGGCGCGTGTTAAAAACGTGAAAATAAGTATATTTTAGTGGAATAAAACTGTGAACATTGTATACTTCTTCACGTCTAGCCGAGCACTGCCTTTTCTCATGGCTGCTCGTGCCTCGCCGAACGGCGCGCTCGTCCTTTGTTCACGCTTAGGCGCACTGGGCGTCGTGTTCGCATCATTGCTTCTAACGTACCAATTCCTTTACAATGTATGTATAAAAAATAAAAATGATTTGAATATAACTGTGATCCACGACCTTGTTCAAAAGCATCTGTATAGAATAAACAAATAATACAAATTAGATAAGATGTTAAAAATTTAGTTGGGATTAAAATATATGTATTTTCATCTCTCAAAACTTTAAACAAATAGAAATTTTATTCTATTAGTACTCTTTGTGCTACTTCATTTCCTAAATATG